TGGTATTTTGTTGCTGTTTTCAGCGCTGCTGGTGGATTATGCGGCTTTAAGGATGGCAATTGTCAGCCAGCTCAAAGCACTTTAGTCACATGAGGTGTAACAAGCAATGTTGCCTTAAGCAAGCAGCTGTAACACAGAATATGAACCATACGCTAATGTCATATGGTTTGTGCATGCTGACCAGGTCTGAGGAGAGCCTCTGTATTGAGTTATAAACATACTCAGAGCACCCAGAAGGTCACAAGCTTAGGGGAGGCCTCTATTCCAGTGAAATGAAAACCTAGTAGAGTAGTGTGCAGGCTGGTTGTTACGCTTATCAAAGCCCAATAAAGCATTCCCATTACAAACACAGGCAGATATGCACTCTTACATAACAAGTGTATATAGTGTCTAAAGTTCGTACATCTGCCAAATATGACAGGCTCCTGATAGACACAGACACACAAAACGAACACTGACGGTGAGATTACATGGGATACAACTGGTTATTATCCTGAAATAAATAAGCCTTGCAGTGGGCGCTATTTCCTGACTACCTCATAATGTTCTGTGGGAATCAACCCCCCTGAGCCTGAAACTATTAATGCCATGCTCTACTTCTTGGACAGCAATTTTTTCCTATTCAAAAAAATAGCGACAAATAACAATATCTCCAAACAGCTAAACAAAATTAGAGTTGTCTGATGTCAGAAAATGTAAAAGTTAGTGGAAATTTTGATATCAATTTTTTTTGTTTGACCTTTTGGAAAAAAAAAAAAGAACACGTGAACACAAAGATGAGCCCATAGGAGTAAGAAAGTAGTGAGAACTCACATTTCAGGTCATTAATCTTAAGGGTCTCAAGGATCTCCAGTGTGGCCATTCCCAACAGGATGTCCGCCTTTAGTGTCTGGTGGCTCCAAACACGGAAGATCAGCTTGCTGACTGGAGTCACAATTCTGTAGAAAAGTGAAAAGATGGCACAAAATAATCTCTGAGGAAATCAATCAGTGGTGGTTGTGGTATTCTTTCTTTTTTTTTTGTTTCTCCAGGCGGGGGAGGCCCACTGTAAAAGGCTATAGCTTCTTAACCTCTCCTGTCACATCTCTTTTATTTCAATTATCTAATTCTGGGTATTACTTTAATGTGAGGGTCTGTTTGCTTGTCTATATTTAATGTAATTGTAGTTGTGTAAATTTCAGTAAAACCAGAAAACTATTCTAAGATGTAATTTATGAGCTCTAGGGTGGTAACAAAAAACAAAATTTTAGATTTGATGCAATCTATGATTTTGAGACACAGTCCTACAATTATTCAGGTTAAAAAAACATTATGCTAAGATTTCCCTGTGGTGGGTTAAGAGTTTTACTTAATAGTTACCAAATTATTTATTCATTCTGGGCCCTATTTAAATGGCAAAACCACAATCAACAATCATCATTGCAATAATTAATCAGCTATTTGTTAAACTGTTTCCTCTCCACAAGATTCATACTTACACTGTGAGAGCCTGCTTCCATTTGGGACTGTGTGTGTTGTTGCACTTCTCAGTCCTCTTTGACTGGCCATCCACAGCTACCTCAACATATGGACTGGGACCAAACCAGTTCTTTTTGTTTTCCTTCAGCCTGGCTGAAAGCACTAGAAAGAAGAAACCAACAGAATAATACTAGAAACACCTGTCCATATAGCGCAATACATTTCAGAAGCATGACAGAACTGTTGTATCAGACTGCGTTAGTTTTAGCTAGATGTACTCAATAAATTATCAATTGAGTGTAACTTAACTCTCAGCAGAATTTATTAGATGTGGCATTTAGAGATGCTACAATCTGCTAACACCATTCACGTATGATTATAGTAATACCACTTCTTCCTGTGATTCCCAATGCTGAATGTTTGGAACTTAACTATGCACAACCTGCAACTTTTCATGAGCAAAGTCAAACAATAATCAACACTACAACTTTATCAATTTGGCACAATTCTTGTCTCATTTTGTTGTTAGACAATCTTACAAATTTTGCAATAACAATAACTTACCTGTGACTTGCAATTGGGACTTCATGGTTCATCCATAACACTGCAGCCTTCTTTGGCTGCAACAAAAGGACCTGCAACAACTGTAAACAGTGACATCACATGTAAACATGGAAGACTTTGTTCAGGTAACCTACTTAAAGAGTGATTAGGCAATTAGGTTGCTATGGTAAGTGTAAATTATAGCCTGGCTTTACGTACAATGGCAAGTATGGATTGAGGAGACTGTTTAACCAAAACAAAGGGCTATATATGACAATTCGAGGTATTTAGAAACATTACAGTGAAAGAGTGTGTTTGTAGTGATGCTGACTCAAACATACAATACTACACAATACTCTACGTCTCCACGTCTTCCGTGTTCCACTTGTCTGTATCGTCTGTAACAAAAATGTTCCGTTTAACAACTGATCATACGATCTATCGTCCTGCCTTCATCACGTCAGGGTCACCATATTGTTGAGTCCACTATTATTTCGCAGCAAAACCGGACTCGCGTGTTTGTTTGATGAAGTATGCAGGACACAGATTTAAAGTTCAACACGTCTAATTTATTAAAAGTATAGCCAAGCATAGAAGTTTGAGATTGCTTACAGACCTCTGGACTCACACTGCTCTCCTCTCGCCTGTCTAAGCAGAGTGCAGCCCTCCCTTGTTTCAGTCACTCACTCTTATACACATTTTCACATTCTTTGTATAACAATATCACTCCCCCTCTTCTCACACAGCCCGACCGAACCCAGCATCTTAGCTGCACATCCTGCTATCTAAGCATGTTATCATCGTACTTTCTCATCCTCTCTGTCCTTGTGGGTCATTCTGCAATCTCAAACGGCAGACAATGTTACAATGTTCACTACATTAGCAGAAATAACATATCCCTTCAACTACTACACAACAATACTTCATTTGATTTGTATCATGAATTTAAACTACTTAAACTGCACACATATTTTAACATTATTTCTTCTGTATATAGTCTCACTGAAAGGCAATCTAATTTAATTATGGCCTGGCTCTGTCTATTTCCTACATTTTGTACAATTTTGCAATTTGTAAATTTGACATTGTTGTCATGTCTGCTAAACGTGAGCTGTTATCGTGCAGACACACACTGTACCAAAATGTACGTTACCCACTGATTATGTTTAATCTTAGCTATTTCAAGACAACACCGAGCCTCTTCCACAACAGAAAATCCCATCCTTAACTAAGCTATATTAAGTCTCACTAAATCTAGTTTGCTAATCTTTGAAAATATCCTTTGACAGAACAAGAAGGTAGTTTATCTTAAATGGTAGAGACGGAGGGAGCGGGAGTGCGTTAATATAGTTTATGAGAAAGAGGTAGAGTGTATCGGACAGCAACATAAAGTTGTCAAAGAGACGACGTGTTTCCTGCTACCTGCAACAGAAAGGCAGTCCAACTATAGCTTAATAGCTTTAACTGTCACGTTAGCATCAGGGTTAGCCAGCATGAGATTTCTTATTAAGACAGCTTCAAACACCAACCTTTTGTGTATTAACGGGTTCGAATGCGATATTGTTACGATGTAATATAATCAATAATAGGAAGTGAGAAGTTCCACCACCACCTGGGGCAACTTTGCTCGCCGACGTGTTGAACACCGAAGCTTTAGCATTAACTAACGTAAGTAATGCTAACACCACCCAGCTCTTTGAGCAGCTTCGATCGTTCAGTCGAGGAAATCTTAGATCTCTCATTCAGTGAACGACTAAATGTCCATACCTGATATAAGCAGACGACAAAGAGCCACACGGACTTTAGTTTCAGCTATGCCTAGGTTGTTGACAGGTAGCCGCCTGCCATCAGCACAGATCCGTGTTCCGCTAGCCAGAACAAGACCAGCTTTTCCGGTGCGAGTTTTTCAAAATATATGTGGTGGAGCACAAAGTAAAATTTTATATTTAGTAAAAATGTACATAGCAAAAATGGTAATATTCAAGTAAAGCAGGAGTACCTAAAAATAGAGCACAATTTCAGACTGTACTTTGCTACATGATTGTTAACAGACTGCATAGTCTATAAAACCAGTTAATCTGTTATTCCCACTGTGCTCAGTCATAACATCAACAATAACAGGCCCAAAGCCGGCCTGAAGACATTACTCTTGCTTTGTTGCAACTTTTGCTGTTGTTGTCAGTCTCTTCTCTTACCTAATGGATATGTTTCTGTAATTATATTACAACTGAAATGATTAGTCGATTAATCAATTAGTTGATCATTAGAAAAATTATCAGAAACTATTATGATTATAAATTAAGTAAAAACACAAAAACATTTGATGGTTTAAGCTTATCCAGGTTGAGGATTTGTCACTTTTTCTAGTCTTACTGAATGAAGACTAGAAATTGTCATTATTGTCTGATATTTTTTGGACTAAATATTTGGTTGATTAATCACAACAAAAAATGAACCAACAGATTAATAAATGATATGTCATTCTCAAATGTCAAATGTAATCTTATTGAACATTCTTGCTTTTTTGACAGTATTTGACATGTTGGTTGCTTGGTATTTAATCACTTTGTGATTTTTACACAACTTCTTGTCCTATATAATCCTTTCTATTATTGAAGGCATGAACAACCTCATTTGATCCTTTGGATTATTGTTCTTGTTTTTATTATTGTTCTACTTGTTATTGTAAGTGCTAAAAGTAGCAGTAGTGGTATCAGTAATAAGTAATGGTATTATTTTTAATTCTTCAACCTTTTATTTTGAAGGCTCAAACGGTATGACGTTTAAACACATTTTGACATCACCATCATACAAACTTTTACATTTAAATGATAAAATAAAGGACATTTACATTCCTTAAAATTGTAAATGTGTTGTATATGTGATTCGCACACTGCTTTTTGTGTGTTAATTAATAACACATCTCTGGTAGCATCACGTTGATAATGACAGTAGGCGCCATTTTTGGACACGCCCACGTATGACATCCTCGAGGTTGGGCTCGTGACATCGGCTACATTAGTCAGTTGCTAGCATCTCCACCGTCTCGGTCTGTAAACGTCATGTTATTCCGCTAGCTAGAAGATAAAACATTAAATAATAACAGCTAAATAATCTCAACGAGCACTAAGGATGTTGTCTCGTCTACTGAAGGAGCACCAGGCAAAGCAAAATGAGCGGAAAGAGCTGCAGGGTGAGTCACTGCTTATTGCCAGCTAGCTGTGATGCTAACCAATGCTAAAAACAAAGCTCTGTTTCATGTATGAGGCCTCTCGTTTTCAACACAGTGATGATTTGTCGTTTTGTTTCCTGCACAGAGAGACGCAGGCGTGAAGCTATAGCTGCAGCCACCTGTCTGACAGAAGCCCTGGTAGACCACCTCAACGTAGGGTATGAAAGTGATGCTAATTGTTTGATTTCACAATTGTAGTAGTAGTAGGGATGGTAGCAGAGGAGTTAGACCTGTTGGAACGGGGGATGTTGACCCTCTCTCTATAAGTATATATTGGAGTAAAGTATATTCCACATAACTCTGTATATTTTAACCCTACATCCTGCCTCTTCGTTAATATAGCACAAAAGAAGCCAGCACTTAAATCATTTAGCGTGAAATAGGGAATTGGCTGTTGTAGACCATACAGATAGCTTTGATTGAGTTATTAGAGCTGTACAAATTATTTTTTTATTTCTTATTGTTGATTAACCTTAAAACATTTTAACTCCATCCAACAGTCCAATAGCTAAAGGGCAAGGGTCTTAAAATTATAATTAACAAAAAGGGTAGTACAGTAAATACTCAAATCTGAGAAGATTGAGCTGAAAATGTGTGCTTTAAGTGACTTAAATTGAGTATTACATTACTTTACAGTTGAATGACTGGTAACTTTAGTAATATGGCATATGTCATGAGGATGGATAATTAATGCTGATACTGAACATGAAGTTTTACAGAGTTTAAAGTCTCATTTTGTTTTTATCCAGTGACAACAGATGAGGGCTATACTCAGCTTCTGATACAAGCACACATTATCTACTAAAGAATTATTCCGCTATACAAACATGTTCCTTGATGTGAATGCCAATATACAGTATGCCAGATCCTGACACACATTCCCTGTATAGATCATCTGGGTACCTGGCAGATTAAAGTCTACCTGACCCCTCCAGGGTACCTGCCAAACAATGCCTCTGTCTGAATCAATAAAAGAAAGCAGTCCATTCCTGGCAGGATAAAGTTGGTCCAATGTGTGACACAACTGCAAATAGTATGAAACCAAGACAATCAGCTTTAAGAATGAGAGTGTGACACAAAGACCGTTGTTGTGCTGTTCCTTTATGAAAAAGATTATGACCAAAATCCTTTAGTGACTTGATGAGATTTAGTGTAGTTTTAATATAACAGTATGTTTTCACTATAAATTGTCAAATTAATGGCTCAGACTTTAGGCTATTAAATGCAAATTCACTCTCACATACCACATGCCACTTGCGCACACACACACACACACAAACACACACATATATATATATTACATAATTCTGAATTTTCATGTATTAACAATACTGCTTCTCATTGTTGTTTCTTGTTTTACTTTAGTGTTGCTCAGGCATACGTAAACCAACGCAAGCTTGACCATGAGGTGAAGACTCTCCAAGTGCAGGCGAGCCAGTTCTCCAAACAAACTGCTCAGTGGATCAGTATGGTGGAGGGTTTCAATCAGGCCCTAAAGGTAAGATACACTTTATCAGGAAGAGAGATCTTAAAGTATTATCTAGTTCTTTATCTAAAAGAAAAGAAGGGATTTCTGCCATGTTCAAATATATATACTTCACAGTTTAACAATTTTACATTTCATCCAGCCACATCTTAGTGCCAGCACCAAGTGTGACCATCTCACATTAAAGCTATATGATTCAGTGTTAATATCAAAAATATAAAAGAAAGGCATTTAACTATAACACAAGTAGAAGTATTGCCACAAAAAATATTCTTGTTTCAGGGACTCGTCAGATCTTACAATTGCTTTACCAGCTTTACTAAAAGCAGATTACTTTCCTGCAAGGGCATCAACAGAGCTTCTAGATCTGAGCGGATATGACAGGTGGTGAAAGCAATTCATCAATGCAATTATGCAGCTCATGTCATCTTCACAGGGTGAAAGGAAGCTTGGAAATGTGTAAAGCTTGCCTGTTACTGGTCCCGATGATAGGTTACACTGGCAAATGTACAAGGGGGAAACCACTGAGTCTGTTTTTTTATTCTGTTTTGAACAGGAAATTGGCGATGTGGAGAACTGGGCCCGCAGTATTGAGATGGACATGAGGACCATCGCCACAGCTCTGGAGTATGTACACAAGGGTCAGCTTCAGTCTGCTTCCTCATAAACTTCACGGGAAGAAATGTTGAAAGGTTTACAGCCGAAACTAAATACACTGGAATGAAACCGAAATCCAGTTGACTCCTGTCAGCAAAGACGCAGGCAGCAAGGACTTTGTTCATCTGCATGCCCCTCTGAATGGGCTAATGCTGATGATTACTTTGTCCAGCAAAATGCTGAAAGTCAGCATACACATCACTGCTTACGTTCTCATCTGAGGAACAATATTAACAAGGACAACCACACAATGATGCTGGAGTTGTTCAAAGATCAAGCGTGTGTATAAAATGAAATAGGTCTAGAATCTGTTTTGTAGTTACTTCAGTTGATGAATAACAGTTGAATAATTGGGAAAACAATCTATGTCAGTATGGAATTGTGAAGGTGTAGCATGTAAAAACAAAGGTAATAGGTTTAAACGGCCACAAATTGCCACCATCGCTTATTGTCTGCAGTATCTCCTAAAAAGATTTTCTAGTAAGGCTTATTTTCAGCACAATACCTAAATTATGTATGTCTATGTAAATGTCTGAGTACAGTGATGACTGTACTGTTTTTGTTAGACAACTTAAAATTTTGTTACCATTTGATGATGGAACATTATTTTTAATAAAGTTTAAAAATCCACCAGTGTTGTGAAACAAGGCTAAATAAATTTAATTTAGCAATAAAGCGCATGTAAACAGCAGAAGATTCTCAGTCATCCAGGTTATGGTTATCCAAGAAGAGTTGAACCAAGGCCAACTGGACTTGGTTGCAGATACTTGATGTTTGACCTCCATTCCAAGAGGCTTCTTCAGTTCTGAACCGAAGAAGCCTCTAGATGAGGCTTGCATGTGTACAACCACTGTTATACAAAAAGCCTAAATGAAGGACATAAAACAAATCTGCATGAACAACCTCATTTGGAAGAGGGAAGTTTGAGCAGTCCACATATAAAGGATTCTCTTCCCAAGATGTTGGTACCGACAGTAGGTGTCAGTGGTGGGCAGGCAAAAATTAAATGTTAATTGGGTCAAGGATTGATTTTTGGCTGATGACTTAATTATGGCTGTTTTAAAACTGGATGGCAGAAAGACAAATGACAAAGTAATAACATTAGTCATTCAAGGTCCAATAGTGGAGAAAGTTTTGCAACAGAACTACTTATGAATCACTCCACTACAAAAACTGGATATAATTCAAGGAATGTGTGACGTGAAGGTTATGTCACAATGCACGTTACTGTTGAGTTTGCTCGCATAATTGCAGGTGTGGTTGGTTAACTAATTACACTTCAATTAACTGCACACTATTAGGGTAGTAACCAGGTAACAGACTTGATCCTTCAGTCAGTGCATCACATGGCATAGATATATGTCTGTTTTACTGTTAAAAGGAAGTTTGCTTCACACTCATAGTCTCAGTATAAAAATCTATCTTTATCTAAGCCAACATTTAAACAGAAAAAGGGCAAATTTACATGTCGGTTTTTATGGAGGGTGCAGTTCTGAAGCAAGTCACATTTATACAAAACACTTTTCCTTATTGCACCTGGGTTTTGTTTAAATATTATTTGATAAACCACAATACAGTGTACATTATGTACACTGCCACTTCTTGTTCAAAGCTCACATTTCTGCAGGATGAGCTGACTACTCATAATACATGCATCACAATTACATTACAACCACTTACAGAGTATACAGCATTTATTGTTTGAGCTTAAAAACTGATATAATAGGTCAGTGAACTCGAGCCAACAAGATTATAGACATATTTGTAACACAGTGCTTTAACATGTGGGATTATAATAACTTTGAATTAACAGTCTTAACACATACGCTAAAGTACTTATGCGTGTATACCCTGAGAACTACCAAGTTCTGAAACTATATTGGTAAGATTTTTTATCAGCTACTTGAAAGAACCTGATGTAATTTGTAAATTGATAATGCACATTGAGAAGCTGGAATATCAAAAAGAAGTTCTTTGAAATCAAAGCTCACATATTGTACAGAAAATTCTCAGTGTTCTCTGTAATTCCAGCCACTTTTTTTTCTTAAACACACACATGCACAAACCAAATGGTTACGGATTGGGGATTACCAATTGCGGACTTGTCTTAAGGGATAAACCACAGGAATAAAGCCTCTCTCCGACCAGCCTCTCTGAGTTAAGACAGAAAAATAACCAGAAAGGGAAAGGGAAGAGGACGGATAACTTGTGGAGATCCATCACTTCTCAAAAGGAGGAAAAGGTAGGATAATACAGTTTTTATATATAAATATCTCTAAGCATTGAATTACCACAAATTACTTTTTCTATCACACATGCTCTGGGTCTGTTTTTTTATTTTTTATTTCACATGCACTGCTGTATTGTTTGTGATGATTACAATTTCCTGTTGCAAATATGTCACATTGCAATTTGGTCAAAGTAATATTCAGTTTAAATGTGAAAGCTTACAACAAACAGAGGTTTTAATTTTGGTTAATAATATCTGATCAAATTATATTGAGGTATTCTGGTATTTTTTCAATATGTTTTTACTAGTGTTATGAAACTAAATTTGATTTTCTTAACCTGATCTGTAATTTTATAGGATCATTTATATTTTAATTGAACAGCATCAGTATGGGTACAGTATCTGATTTATGTCTGCAGGCGATTTGAATATCATGGGTAATATAACCCACAATAGTATGTATTTTGTCTGTTTTTCTCACTAATAAGCCTGAAAACTAATTGGTTTTCACCAATGAGCAGCTTAAGCAGCTCTGTCACGGGCATTAATATTATGCTTCAAAACAATGCACCCCCCCTTCTTCGGGTCTCGTTCCCTCACAAATGCCTTTCTTTCTTCCATAAGAGTATTATCCAAAGATTTCTCATGTGCCCAAAGCAGTTCTGTATTACAAGCACCTCTTCTGCTAAGGCCCTCAGTGAACAGGTTCAACAAACCAGCACAATGCTTCAATAAGACCCTACATCATTGTGAAATCGAGGAGGGATTTGATTGTGGGAATTCCTGAAAACATCAGATTTGAAAGGTTTCCATGTCAGTACGTATTAACATTTGCTCAACATGTTTTTTCAGCCAGCACGATCTCCTCCAGGTGACCAAAAACCCACTTCTAATCCTGGAAGCAGCATGGATACACAGTATGTCTACGACCTTTTAGGGTAAGAAATTCCAATGCTACACCACTGTACAATTTTTCCTATAATTTGACAGCTGTAGCCTAACCTTTGAAACTACAACCTTACACTTGGAGAATATTTTCTGATGTCCTTCTCTTGTTATAAATCCTCCTGTCTCTTCTCTTTCAGGGAAAATGCTTGGTTGTACATCAGTGCCACCTTTGTGGTGCTGTGGATTCTTGTGTGGCTGTACAGAGACAGCCTAGAGATTGAGAACATCACTGACAAGTACGTCTTTGTGACCGGCTGCGACTCTGGGTTTGGAAACTTGCTGTGTAAGAAGCTCGATCGAAAAGGTTTCCGTGTGCTGGCTGGCTGTCTCACAGAAAAGGGAGCTGATGATCTGAAGCGGGTGGCAGGGCCTTATTTGAAGACTGTCCTGCTGGATGTGACCAATCAGGACAGCATCCAGAAAGCCATGGAGTATACCAAGGAGGTGGTTGGCGATAAGGGTGAGAGATTATTTGCATTATTTGAATATGAGATGACTCTGCTAATTAAAGGCATTTCTCTAACACAAAATGACTTCTTCCCCTGTTTGTCTTTCATTTCCTTCCTTGTAGGGCTTTGGGGTATTGTGAACAATGCTGGACGCTCATTACCCATGGGCCCTTCAGAGTGGATGAAAGTGGAGGATTTCCACAGTACACTGAAAGTCAACATGAATGGAGTGATCGCCATGACGATGACTTTCCTGCCTCTCATCAAAAAGGCCCGAGGCCGCATTGTAAACGTAGCATCAGTACTCGGTAGAGTGGCTGCAAACGGTGGTGGATACTGCATCTCCAAGTTTGCAGTGGAGTCTTTCTCTGACTGCCTCAGGTAAGACTTACGACCTGATCAGCATTAGATACACGCATACTGTGACACTCTGTATACTACTGTTAAACACAAAGAAAGTATTATGTGTCCACTGTTCAAGTTTATCTTTTCCTATCCTTTACAAAGGCCTACAGTATATAAGTATATGTATAACAGTATATGTATAACCATTAAACACATTTGGAGCAATAAAACATATCCCATCCAACAAACTACTAAAACAAAAAGCCCATTACCACAGCAAAATATATTCAAGACAAATATTGGCTGATAAGATCAGACAGAGAAGAATATTAGTCTTCCTCACTGCTTCTCAAAAATTTCATTTAGCTGAGCTTATTATAAACCAGTACCGTTACTGTCTTCTCTCAGTTGCCAGGTTGTGAAAAAAAGGCATTTATCCTCCAGCAGGACACTTTGGTCTTTTAACCCTTTACCCTCTAATGGACCACTTTTGGACTTAAATGTATTTATCAACTGCTTATCAACATGTATAACTGCCACTTGATGGCCTATTAACAATGTGAAAAACCCATAGATATTTATTTGTGGATTACCAAGATTTATGAGAGCATAAATGCCAAATAGGATGAAACACAATCTGGCAACCTAAACATTGCTGTTAATGACTTTTAACTTATTAACCATTAATAAAGTCATTAGTTACAACTTATAAGACCTTTTATAAAGGGTGACTTGTAAGAAGGTGGTACTCTAACTTATTTAAAGCTTTTTGTTTGATATAAAATATTAACCTGTTTTTTCTGTATCCAGGAGAGATATAAACTACTTTGGAGTCAATGTATGCATCATTGAGCCGGGGTTTTTCAAGACTGCAGTGACGAGCCTCGACCCCCTCGAGAGGGAGCTGCATCGCTTGTGGAACCAGCTCAGCCCTGAAGTCCAAGCCAGCTATGGAGACAAGTACCTTGATAAGTGTAAGTACAGTAGACTGCTGGTTATTGTTTCAGTGGACTCAAACACTGCAAAATAGAATTTAAAGTCACAATTAAACGTGATTGTTTGCTAATTTTCCATAAAAAAATAAAAATAAAAAAAGTTGCCCATTAAAACTTGAGTGCCAAAATATGGAAATCATCTTTTAAAAAAATATATACTAAGGATTAAGGTTCATTGTGACCTCTGAAAATGTGACATCTTGAATCTCGCTCCATATACCGCACGTACATTTTAGGTGAAGGGGAAAAAATGCATTGAAAATTAAATTAGTTTTATACACCACACATCTGTTCATCTGTTTGTTGGTGTGATACTCTTTTTCAGACATCAAGGTCCAGCGGTTGATCATGAATGCTATCTGTGACTCTGACCTGACCAAGGTGACCAGCTGCATGGAGCATGCTCTGACAGCGGCCTACCCACGCAGCAGATACAGCGCCGGCTGGGATGCCAAGCTTATCTGGATCCCCCTCTCTTACATGCCTTCCTGTGTGGTTGATATTGGCCTGAAGCTGGTGCTGCCTCGTCCTTCAAAGAGTGTGTAACTCGTGATGACTTTGAAGAAATGTCTTCAAAGTCATAAGCCTTTTCTATGTCATTTTATGTCATTTTGTGTCATTTTGACGCAGTACAGAGGCTGAATTAAAAAAAAAAATATATATTGTGCCTTTCAAAATACCCATATTCTTTATCTGCACTGGCAATGCAATGATCTGATGTTGCAGTTATTATTATATTTATATGTGCATGATCTGCCATGTAAAAGTATTTTTCCCTTTGTAATGTCTGCTTGATAGACAATATGAAAGCAAATAATGAAAGTGTACAGTAAAATTTACTGTATAAATATTTTGTTTGTTAACACTATGCAGTGCCTTTTGACACTGATATTTATGAATGCTGTTAATCATCAGTCTAAATAAACATAAATTTACTATCTAATTTACTACTTTAAAAAAATTTACTACTAAGAAAAAGTGTAATGATCAGCTTATTGCAGGCACAAATAGAAGAACCATCTGACGCTTTGCAATGAAAAAATAGCTACATTCTGAGTTACAATGATGGTTAGCCATATTATGATTTATGGCTTATCTGTTGAATGTGAACGATGATGCATGTGAAATCCTTCACATCTTGGTGATTTGCTCCACGGGTCTAACAAACACAAAAACTTTTCCATAGCTCCTGAAAATCATTCATTTTCAACCAACGGCAGCACTGTGATATAGGCTGCCGTAATGGCATGACATTAATAAAGTTTGACAGTTTGTTATTTTCATACAGACACACATTGAATGTCAGAAACACCATAACCAGCAAAACAAAATGTGCTTCATAAGTATTAAGTTCAGTTGGCCTGCCCATAATCAGTTAATATTGTTTTTTATTATATTATTCAGTTTATATTGTGCAACACTGAAACCCAGTGACTGGAAATTTCACCAGGTGGTGCTCAAAATTAACATAATATCTAGATTTTTCTGGCTAATACATTTTCTGTGCAGTTTTAATAATATCTTAAGTTTTTTATGATATACAGGTTGTTCAAAAATAAGCTGTCACGCTTACTTTTTAGTTCATTTACATTTGATTAATTGTTATTTTTCTATTTCGCCAAGATATCAGTCCATTTAGTCAACAGGTAAAAACTGTCAGAATGTACCTACTGAACAGGTTCAGCTGGTGGTGGCCACAATAAGAAACTGAGAAGCATGTTGGCTGGACATGTTGTTACACAACAGGTCACAGGATTTCTCCAACTTGAATATCCCTGAAGAGTTAGTGAGGAGTTGGAGGTTTTGTTGTGATGTCATGCTTTCTCTGATCTGGCCTGCTTTATTCATAATTAATTCTAATTGCCTGTTAACAAAATGCCCCATTAATTCCCATGGGTGGAAGACCTGTGTTTTCCAAAATAAATTTCTAGGCTCTGGTTTGCTACTGCAGCTGTCAGTCAGCTGACAGCTACCACATGAGGGGGTGAGCCTGTAACTTATTATACAGACCTCCTGCTGCTTTCAAGTGCTCCTCGGAAATTTATATTTTAACTATTAATTACCATCAGCTTGTGGCAATTTCAATATAAAGTTTCCAGTAGCCGCCACGTTTAATAGTTTTTATATTTCTTTTATGAGTTTGATATTTTTTAGTCAAGTTGTGGAGCTACTAGGCGCAGTGCGAAGAGCTTCAAAAGTGCTAAATATCAGGAAAATAGGTGATGTTTTGAACAATACAGACTCCACATTAAATATGTCACTTTAACACCAATACTGTCCTCGTGGCGAAAAAGCTCTTGTCAAAAAGGTAAATTTTCCGACCACACGCGAAGGCAGCAAAACTTGAGCTCGTTGAAAGTCAGTGACCTCGCAGGAGCTGCTGCTAAACAGCTCAACAACAAAAAAAAACAGTCACCGTTGTCTGCTGTTGCCTTCACCGTCAGTCAAACTATCAGAGCCGGACTGTGGCTGCCGTTCGTCGCAGCCATGCACTGTCTGAGAGGTCTGCGTCTGCCGAACTCTGTTCAACAAATCGTCAAAAATACAGATGCGGCGAAGAAGGTTTTCATCATCCAGCCAGCGTGTTGTCTGAGCTCTAAAGCAACAGCCGCGTCCCACCGACGACACGCACACTTGGATCATTCCCATCTCAAAATGTAAGTGTCTGTGTGACACAGAGCTGAGTGTCAACACCTTCCTGCCGGTGTTGGTTCTCACACAGACTGCCTCCACACTGTTCAAGTGAATATTATCTGGGCCTGTTGTAACAATAATGTTTGCATTACATGTTTCAGAAGGTTTTTACATTTACAGTTTTATTGTACATGGAAATGTACACATCTAGCACTTACAATGTCCTGTATATTATAGACACAGGAGATATATAGAGGATAGAATATATAATGTAAACATCTCAAGGAAAATTATCCAGCTCTACTGCTACAAAAGTGGTCAGTTCAACTGCCAGTTAGTAGCATGTGTCAGCTATAAATGAAGCAACCGACACTTTGATAAGAGAGTTTGTAAAGCTTCAGTAGTAGGAGAGCTCCTGTTACATGCTGTAGTTGCACCTGTCAAAAAAATCATAACACATACCAATCACACACCCTGTATTTCTGTCATTTGGCTCTTCAAAAAGTACATCAACATTGGCTTTTTTATTCTTTCTTGTGTAGGTCAGAAGTTAATGGTGGCATGTGAACAGTTTACAGTACTTGAATGTTTGTTTGAACAGGGTAGCAGTGTATTTACCATAACAACTAGATTGGTTGTTTTACAAGTAAGCTTATGCATAACTTTTTTAAAAAATAACTTTGGATTGAATTTTTTGTAAGTGAACACCAAAGACTGGCGGCGTTCTTTTCACAAGTTTACTCTTCATTTCACCAGGAATGTACACTCAAAGCCTCCCAGCTCTGGAGTGGAAAGCATGCTTTTCTACACCATCACAGAGGGAAAAGAGCAAGTCCCCATCTCATACTTTACCTCAGTAAGTAGATGAAAACACACTGATTATATTCAGTTTATATACAAATCATCTATCTATAGTTTCCATTGTTGTCTGCAGGCCCTGAGGAGAACTGGCCTTCATCCGTCTGACCCCCGTCTAAAGGACTGCATGGAGAAGCTTCGACAGGCCGTGAAGGAGTCTGCCGGCGAGGTGATGATGGACAGGGAACTTTTCCACAGGCAAGTCAAAGTGCTTAGGCATGATTCACACAGTTAATAATGACTACTGCTACTGGAATTCAACTTGACCAAAATCAAACACAGATATAAAATACATGTGGACACATGAGGAAAGCACAGGTGTTAATAATAAAATGAATCATGGTTGAATTAACTTCAGCTGCGCCAGTTTCAGGCTCCTGGTATTAGGTAATACAGCAGAGCCATTGTTAATGTGATTGGTAACACCTGTGCTTTTCCTACAATGACAAGTCAAAAATGTCTGCGGTGACAAAGGCCATAACAAACAGTAACATTTATTTTTTTATCCCTCTTGTCTGTAGTGTTACATACAGATAGTTTTGCTGTAGTTTGACGAATTTGATTGCCTGTAGTTTCACCCCAGTACAGTAGAGTTCAGTGGTGTTTAGTTTTTAACTTGTATTACATCTATGGACAGACCTGGTTGAATTGTTTCAGTGAGAACTTCTACTTAGCTACACCCACAATGCAGAGGGAAGAAGCGTCTCCTATATTGTTTCAGCTTATCTTGAGTGGCTGTGTCATTTTATGCTTTGATCAGCATAAATCAAATGTGACTGAGCTCCATTGTATTAGGGTGATTTACAGCCAGTATCTCAGGCCTTCTCTGGCAAACTGTCTGTGAGTACAATGTGAAGCACCTTAATTAGCTCTCGGTCCAGTGGCTGCTGCAGGGGCATTATAGCTCCCTTTGTGGTCTGTTCTGGGGGTTCCATGTCTTTTTCCCGAGGGACAGTATACTGTACCTGCAGTACAAGAGGTGGGATGTTTTTTAAGCCAGAAGTCACCTCGCAAACACTAGCATGCTGTACCTCAGATACCAATGTACTTTGTGTTTTTTATTTCTTGAACTCCTTTGTGTAAAATCCACAAAATACGAATATATTTCACATAACTACAGCAGGTCAACAACTCAAACACAGGAGCACACCGGGCAACACGGCATCATGAACAACAGTGTCCAAGCACTGTGGATTCAGTCACACAGCTCACAATAAGTTTAATACCATACATTTTTTTATAGCAATTCTCTCTCTTTGTTTCCTGTTCCTGAGAGTGTTGCTTCTCCACGTTCCCCCTCAAAAATTGACATGTATCTTAACGGTGACTGAGTCACGGTGTTTTGTTTTCCATTCACCAGCTAGTGCAGGCATGAGACCAAACTATTTTTAGTCTGACCTTCCAACAGCAATCCATTTAATGAAGGATTTTGTTGTAAGTGACTTGCTGCATGATTGTCTCTCTGCCTGTCCCTCCCTTTGTCTTAATTTTTTTATTCCCTTGTCTTCCACACATACTTTACCTCACTCATTAGAAGTCATTTATGTCTGATTTATATAGAAGACAAAGAATGCAGAGGAATTTAGAACCACAAGAGACTGACATAATATTGTGAACACATTTATAATGTAATACAGTATTTTGTGAAGGTCAGTTGTGAAGTTTGCAATGCTAAATGTTTGTTGGGACCGTGTCTGAAATGTATTGATTAGACTCTATGGCCATTTTTTTAGGCTGTGGGTTTTTTTTTTATGGATAAAATTTTTCCCAACACAGAGATTGCTTGGATTATTAGGTTTTTCATACAGAAATAAATTAATTCCTTTGACTAATGTCATGGAAATATGATATTACAAATCATTTGTTATCACTTCTTGGATCTGCAATCAACCTGGTATTTGCTTTTAAATAAAAAAAAGATAAATGTCCAACAAAAAACATATTTTTTTATCACTGTTCTGACATCTCAGTTGATTGATATATGGTGGCTTAAACAACTCATTCAACACTTCAGTAAAAGCTATCTTGTGCACAGACAGTCATAAACTGTGCTACATGTTGTGAAATATTACTTTAGATTGATCAGCCTTAACCTGTGGGCAGCCTGTGGTGTGAAACACATCAGTGTTATGTAGCGTGTGTCAGGACATGTCAGCTTTATTTACTCTCCTGCTGATGAAAGCAAAGGCTTGTTGCTCAGAGTGATAATGTGGCAGCTGGCAGCTGCTCCCCACTCACACTGAGACCTGCACACACGCGCACACACACACACACACACACACACACACACACATACACACACTATATGTATATCAAGTAAAACATGTCATTTTCAGTAAGTGCTCCTGAGTAACTCAGCATTATGTTGTTTTTCTTGCAGATGTGTTGGTGGAAACATCGTCTTGCTGCTCCAGGCCTTCAGGAAGAAATTTATCATCCCTGAGTTTGACGTGTTTGCCCAAAAAATAAATGAAATCTATGACAGAGTGCAAAAGCAAAGTGAAGGGAAGGTAGGTTTCTTTGTTCCTTAGAAATGTAAATTTTATTGTTGAAGTTCTTCTGTATTGAGGGAATATACTGTAACACAGCTGTAGAAACAGCATAGTTTATTCCTTTCACATATGTGACAACCCATTGTTATACCTACAGTTTGTCATATATTGGTGTATTATGTAGTATTTTATATATATGTCCTGTATATGGTTTAGCCAGTCAAAGCTGGTCATGGCTTTCTTTAAATTCACACTGTGGACAGGAACTGCAAGGTGTAGGAATCCTGACTGTCACATTTCACTAATTCTTCCACGCTCATTTTCTTTTAACATCTTCTGTGCTGCAGTGCTTTTAGTTCTGACACTCATTCTTCAATCTAATATTGTGTGATCTGTCATCTGCGTTAGGTTGCAGACTACATCCCCCAGTTGGCCAAGTTCAGGCCAGAACTGTGGGGCATGTCTTTGTGTACCGTGGATGGCCAGAGGTAAGAATTACAGATTTGTACTTGTACAAAATTATCTCACCACATTGTGACATTGTTTTATTCATACAAGCTGTGATACTGATGCACATCTGTGGTGTTACCGGGTAGACTTGGTGTGATATATTCAGTGAGACTGGAAACACTATCTCCCAGATCCTTTGCTACTTAAATGTTAATTCTCGGGTCTTTTCTCCTCCAGGCACTCAGTAGGCGACACCAAGCAGCCGTTCTGCCTGCAGTCCTGCGTGAAGCCCCTGCAGTACGCCATCGCCGTCCATGAGGCGGGAACAGAGCATGTTCACCGTTACGTCGGCATGGAGCCCAGCGGACTCAAGTTCAACATGCTCTCACTTGATGATGAAGGTGCGTAAAGCCTCATCACTGTGCTGATGGATTGTAAAAGCTTCCATCGCCCTGCAGTCAGTGTGAGGAAATCACACTTTTAGTTTGAACCGACAGGAGAAAGAAATCTATAAGATCTGAGTCGATACGTTTGTCTGCTGTGCCACATTATTAACCTCTTGTTAGTTTCCTTTACTGACTGCAAAACTCACTGGATGGATTATGTCTTCCTCCAGCTGTACAACCACATCATATAGTTTTGTTGTTGTATTTGTAGCTGTGGTCAACCAAAACAGTTTATTTTTTTCTCTAACTGTTAATATTGACTAAACAAACGATTGTTTGATCATGGAAAATAATCAACAGATTAATCAATAATGAAAGTAAGTGTGAACTGTACTGTATTTTACTTGTTTCTGTTTTTCTCCAAACTAAGAAACTGAACTACAGCGTGTTCAGAATGCTGCTGCATGAGATTTAAATTACTTAAATATCTTTTATTTATTTTTTAATGTGTTGATCGTGTCGGTCTGCACCTCAGTATGTTCACATCATGTTTCATACGCATGCCAGTCAAATACCTTCTGTGCCCTCATGACTCCATGAACTTATCTGTATTTATTAGTATCTGTTTTGCTGGTCTCATGTCGTTGGATACTATATGTAGAAGATTATAATGATGAACTGGTGAAAGGAAATTAAATTTCCTTGTTACAAAGCTTTTATTCAGTACAGAACTGCTCATCAACATTGTCCCTTATCTTGTCGTCCTTTCCTCCAGATAAGCCCCACAACCCAATGGTGAACGCTGGAGCCATAGTGATCAGCTCTCTTATCAAGGTAAACAGACATGTGTGGCCTGGCGTGTGGTAGTTGAGTCAGCACTGACAGTAAATCACTCTCCTTTTAGTAAAAGTCTGTGACACAGTAAAATGAACAGACCTTAACTTGTACTTTGGACTGCATGTACTTTAAGTTAACTGTGTTATTTTTATTTTCAACATTTTAAAAAATGACAATATTCCTGCTGGTTCTGTCATTTGCAGAATGTCTTTTAAATTTGCCACATTAAATTTGTCCACACCTGAAAAGTCTGGAAAAATCTTAAAATATGAAAATTGGTTTGCAGATTGTTACAAACACATTCATTGCATCAGTGACAGACAGTGTCAGTACTGTTTTTTTTTTTAAGTTGGATAGACATTCAGTGAAACATCGCCAGAAGTTAAAACAGTTTTTTTGGAAAAACATCTTTAAATAATGAACCCCATTTAGCCCTGTAATGTGCAGTATGTTTCAGTTTAGAGCCTGCAGGTTGCTGAGTGAGTCTGTCGATGCGATCATGATCTTTATGACAAAGCCTGGGGGAAATGTCATAAGGCAGCAGTGGCAAATTATTAATTTGATTAATTTAAAAGTGTCCTAATCTATGTATGATTTTGAAATCTTATCTTATTGACTGAATATGACTTGCTTATCTTTGGCATGTTCAAGGTTTGTCTTACAAATTCAAATCAGAAAAAAAAAGGAATCAGAAGGACCTTTTTTCACAGTTGTCTATAATCTTGTATTGTGAAATGCTCCCTGAACTCTACCTGAGCTCTGTGGTATCTCTCCTCTCACTGTACCAGCTGATAATAGGATGTTAAATTATGCAATCAGCAATACATTCATGTATTGTTTCACCCCATGTTATTAGTCATACCGAAGTCATATTTAGTGTTCATGAATGTGGGAACTGAATGAGTGTGTTAATTACAATCAGCATATTTTTATACAAGCAAATGACTCTTGCTTTGTTTTCAGCCTCGCTCAAATAAGGCAGAGAAGTTTGACTATGTAAGTAGTGTGCCTCAGACTTTCTTCTCTGTTAAGATCGTGAATATCAAGCTGTGGCATGATTTTCTCAGTGGGCACAGAGATGCTGAAGTGCTCATTAAAATCAGTCTTTCTTTGCTTAGGTTATGGAGTTTGTGAAAAAGATGGCTGGCCAAGAGTATGTTGGATTCAGCAATGCCACGTGAGTGCACAAATATTATAGAGATATTGTATCATTATACTGTATATCTTTCATTTAACACACACACTTCCAAGACTGTGTTAGGCAGATTGCCTGTCCACTGGCTTATTGCATTATTGATGCTTCAGTATTGACCCCTTCTGCTTATCTGTCTCAGGTTCCAGTCAGAAAAAGAAACAGGCGACAGAAATTTTGCCATTGGATACTACATGAAAGAGAAGAAGGTCAGTTACGGAACATTTTCTCACTGTGCAAAAATATGTGGGATTATAAACCACTTTTATTTTCTGTTGCATGTGTTTGAGAGAAAACTTGTTTTGTATGTTTACATACCAACTTCGTTCTGTGCATTCACATGTATGTTTTCACAACATGTTCCTCTACAGAGCCGGTACATGAGCTAATATTTTGAAAAAAATCAACCTTTGGTCCATTTTTGCTACCATCATCAGTTTGCTCGTCCAATCAGCTTTGACGCCAAATAAAACTTCTTCTCCGTGGCCTCTCCATACATCTCCCACACCCCACCATGCATCACCACTAACCTTTTGACACTGGGGGCTGTGTTGTCAAGAGCAATAGCCCTTGGTAGGGTCTCCCAACAAAAACTGATGTAATTTGAAAAGCCAGGTTAAGAGAGAGAGCCTTATGAGCTGAGCTATTTTTAATTTTCTGGTTGATAAATCATAGTATATCTGTACAGTGTTAGCCAGTTTATGTTTGTCAATCATAGTCATGATGATCATTTTTCATCCACCAGTGTTTTCCACTGGGAGTGGATATGATCGATTCCTTGGATTTCTACTTCCAGGTAAACTTCTCTGTCATGAACAGAACATTTCATGAAGAATCATTAAACAATCATTTTTTGTTTTGTTCTTCTTGGCCCTGTTGTTAAATTAGCTGAAAAGAAAATAGTTCCAGTAGTTTCAACCATAAACTTGACCCTCTTCTGCTCTCAGCTTTGCTCCATTGAGGTGACCTGTGAGTCAGGGAGTATCATGGCTGCCACTCTGGCCAACGGGGGAATTTGTCCAATCACAGGCGAGCTTGTCCTGAGTGCCGAGGCAGTGCGAAATACTTTGAGTCTCATGCACTCATGTGGCATGTATGACTTTTCTGGCCAGATGGCATTTCATGTGAGTAACACCAGGTGACCAATGTCATTTTCATAGTTTGCTGTAAAGGAAATGCTTGTCGATCACACACACACACACACACACACACACACACACACACACACACATACAGACTCTTGCTCTCGTGTCTCAGGTGGGCTTGCCGGCCAAATCTGGCGTGTCTGGTGCAGTACTGCTGGTAATCCCCAACGTCATGGGAGTAATGTGTTGGTCTCCTCCGCTGGACAGAGTTGGAAACAGCGTCCGGGGAATACACTTCTGCCAGGCAAGAGCACGACGGACACTCTGCCTTTTATGTCTTTACATTTAGACTGTTTGTGGTAAAGAGGTAGATGGTTCAAAGAAGTTTTTATGGGATTATAGGATCAAATCACTCTGATGGATTATTGCCTTGCACTGCCTTTTTATTTATCCTGCCACTAGATGAAGCCAAAGTGAAATTGGAAGTGGTAAATTGACTGCACTCACGTAGGGCTTTTCTAGTCTTATGAGCTTTACAATGGATTCCACATTCACGCGTTCACACACACACACACGTTCATACAGCTTTTCCCTACACATATTGTTTCTTTCCACCACACATAGGAGCCGGGAATCAAACTTTTTGATAAGTGGATGACCTGCTCTTCCTCCTGAGCCACATAGTCCTCCTGAACAATATACCAAAGCCAAAAATCTGAAAGTTTAGATTCAAACCATCAAAGTTGCCACAAAGTAAAATTTGAAGCTGTTTGTGAAAGATTTCTGTAGCAGCTCTGGAGTTTGCATCCAAGTGACTTCACAGGTTTGAATGAATTTTCTGTTGAATCTTTGTTTGTTTTGTTCTGATATAGAGTTGGTAATGTTATATACATACACATAATACATTTCCTGTATCTGTATCTTATCCTCAGGAGCTTGTGTCACTCTTCAATTTCCACAATTACGACAACTTGAGGCACTTTGTGAAGAAGCAGGACCCTCGCAGGCAGGATGGGGATGACAGGGTGAGTTGCCTTGTCAGTTTGTTGATTGGGGTGTTAAATATGTTCAGTGCCTCTGTCTTTATGTTGCTTTCCTGTGTTTGCAGAACAAGTCTGTTTTCAACTTGATGTTTGCCGCCTACAGTGGAGATGTGTCAGCCCTGAGAAGGTAAATTACCAGGAGGTCTGGTTATTGTTTGTCTTATATAAGAAATGGCTCTGAATGTTTATACCAGGCCTGGGTAAAAAAAAAAAAAAAAAAAGGACAAACGAGCGAATAATTAAATTAAGTAGAGAAGCTTCAATGCTGTTTGACTTTCCACATCTCTGGAAATCTACTGGAAATCTACTATGTTTCAAAAAGATATTTCTCATTCGATGTTTTAACGATGGTGGTGGACAGCGCTCTCTAACACTTCAGCCAAGATCTCCCAAAGGTGTGCAGCTGGGCTGAGATGTGATGACAAACAAAGTGACAGTTAAAATTTCTTTTGGGAAAGCTAATCATACAACTACAAAGAGACTCAAAACTACTATGGCTGTGCTGCCATAAACAAGGGTTGTGGGGCCTTTTAAATTACTGTGCACAGGGGCCAATTCTTTCATAATCCACCCAAGCCTGTATGGAGGCATTTGCATTTGTTAATATTTATTCATATCACCCATCTGTTGTTCAGATGGTCAGAACTCTGTCAGAATATCAGATTGTATATACAAATGTTGCACAGAGACAATTTCGTGTAAAGAATATTTTTATCTATTCGTGTATTGTTAGAATTATTAATTCTCTAAAATGTAAATGGTAATTTCTGTATTTACCTCTGTCTGGTTTGTATAAGTATAAACATAAAGTTTGTCTTCATGGCTGAAAATAATCCCTCATACTGCTGCTTGTATGTTGGTTAGCTCAAATATAAAAATAATGCTAAAATATATATTGTATTTCTATATATTTATATTACTCTGAGGAAAAAAAGGCATTTTCATTTCATTACATGCCTCAAAAAAGTAGTTGTGAACTGCACTTTTGTTTCTTACTTCAGGTTTGCTCTCTCATCCATGGACATGGATCTAAAAGACTATGATTCTCGGACAGCACTACACATCGCTGCAGCAGAGGGTGAGCTCCTCATATTCTTTTCGCCTGGAATTTCATAGACAGACTATAAAACAGTCAGGCAGTGAATCTGTATGACCAAAGGGCAAAAAAAATCAGTATTGTGGCACAAATACTGCACATCCTCTGCTCTTAAAGGTCAAAGGAAGCATAACAGAAAATATTACTTGATTTTGAATAACATCCCGCTATTTATATTTTTCAAACAGTCTCAAACTTCTCAAGCATGTTAGGCCACTTTAAAGACCCTGCACATCTATTTTCCACCCACACAGGTGTTTTCACTTGTTCTACCTGATTAGACCTCTGTGGACTGTCTGAGCATATAAATCTCTCTAAACCCTCCTTTTGTTGCACAAGGTTGGAGAAGTTACACTTTCATCATTCTCATTCGTTCATGTATCCATGAATTATTGATTCAGCACAGCTGCACGCAACTTCGACCTGAGCAGAGGTCTAATCGGCCAGAACAAGTGAAAACGCCTGTGTGGGTGTGCAGGGCCTTTAACTAATGTGTTATTAAAGTGGAGATTTGTACTTTCTCAAACTCATCTACGGTGGTGTGTGGTAAAACACTAAACCTGGCTGGAGACACCCTAAAATCTGCTGAGGCGTGTTGATCAAGCTGCCGCGTCGCACCTGTCACATCATGTCACACATCAGGTGTAATGTTACACTCAGTGCATGGCTGGATACCAACAGCGGAGAGGTGAGACATAACAAGTCACTCGCCGTGGTTCTAAGATGACAAACATGTGAAAAGATTGGTTGACATGGCAACCCAAGAGCACCTTTTATCACACATCATTCAGTCATTGTGTAAAAACCTGCTTAACTTAGTTTTTATCTCACAGTGTCATCTGGCAGAAAAGATGACAGATTTTCTGTTGATCTGTTACTGACAGAGAAAAATAGTTGCACTTGTTAAATTACATGTTTTGACGCTCACAGCTGTAATTAGTTTTCACTTCATTTGTTTTCATGATTAACCACAGAGGTTCAGTACCTCTGGCTCACATTATACAAGACCACTAATGAATCAGCTCACAAACCCTTACAGAGCACCATATGGTCAATTATTTGTCTTCTGCTGTGCTTTAAGTGTATTCACAGTGCAAATTTAATGCTCCGCTGCTGTGACTTCAACAATAACATTTTTCAAAAACAGCCTTGTAAGCAAGTTGTTTGTTTATAAGATAAAAAATGGGAGTAATAAGTGTTTTCTTGCAAATGAAAGAAGCAGAGCTTTGCACTCCTAAATCTGATTCTGAGTTGGGATTGTGACTGGAGGAAATAATCATACACACATTATACATCATCGTGTATTTTCTTCACTCAAAGTTTGTCATGCTATTAGAAAAACTTGGAGATCATGAATAGCTTGCCAGTTTTGGGTTATGGTTATGTTGCTGGTCAACTGCTGTTTTTGAGTTGTCAGTGAAAGGTTGTCTCTGCTTGTTCGCTCCTGATGTGAAACTATGAACTTTCATGTTTTCTTGTTTATTCTCAGGTCACATCGATGTTGTGAAATTTCTTACTGAAACTTGCAAAGTTGATCCATTTGTAGAAGACAGGTGAGAAAAGCATCTCTTACTTCTTTGAATCCTTTAGCTTTTATTTTCTTCTATGTTGTGAATGCGATCATGATCAAATAGTTCAACCGCTATTTGTGTTTTCTTTGTATCATTTTGTATATGATCATTTAGCTGACAATAATCCATATTTAGATGTGTATTCTTTCCCATCTATCCGTCTCCTGAAAATGTGATTTCTGATCAGCCGGATTTTAGAAATGTTTGAATGAAAGTAAAATGTTTTCACCATGAACTGAAGTTATACAATTATCTCTCAGAGCAAGACAAAAAATAACTACACTAAGATACTTAGAGAAACTCAATAACGGATGAACCACAAGGTTTAATTAAGTTAATGCATTCTAAGAGTGAACTTTTGAGCTTAAATTGGCTTTTCCATGTACTGTGAATCCATATTTTAAAACCTAGCCGCTGAAAAATTCTCCTCCATCATCTCTCATCATCTATCTGCTCATTCCTCTCTCCATCACGATCTTCTCTCCTTGCTGTGCAGGTGGGGGAACCTACCAGTCGATGATGCCGAGCAGTTCGGACGTGACGAGGTGGTGAAGGTGCTGAAAGACTACCAGGAGGTCTGCAGGCAGCAGGAGACGCAGCACACTGAGGCTGAGCGTTCCCCAAAACTGGACACCATCGAGGGCATGGTGTGATGTCTGAATAGAGGCACCCAAACTGTGATCCAACAGGGAATTTGTGCAACCTGTGAGGTTTGTAAATATGACTTGTAAGCACAGAGAAAGAGTGCCAAACAGAACCAAACTGATCAACCTATCCTGATCTACTCTATGTTTTGGTTAGGCCACTCAGCTGTATGAGTTGACAAAGCAAACTGGTTGTTGCACCAGGAAAGGAATTCACTCATTTGGTGAAAAGGAAATTGTAGAACCATGCTAATAGAATATAAAATACATTAAAAAAAATACATTAAGACAATAGAACTAGTAAAAAATAATAAAACATCAGAGCATTAACAATATAACAACTGTGGGTTTATGCTGCTTTACATATAATGGGAACAGTTTCAGACTAATTTCAAATCAGCACTGGTGAAATAACAACTCGCACATAATGTTGATGTTGTGATAAGATTTATTTACATTTATATGGAGCATCTCAGAGGGATTTGATGAAGCCAAAATATGATTATTTATACCTACAGTGCTTCTTATAACTTACAGCGGTACTTTAGGTTTCTATTGTTATCTGTTTTTATTTTCTCACTGTGCCGTGTTGAAAACCAAACCAAAGAAATCCCCTTTAAAACTGTCTGGTATGTTCAGAGGCAAAAGCTCATGTTTGATCTCAATTCAACATGATCCCACTAAAACCTAGTGTGGGATTCATTGTATATATTTTGTTCTTGCAGCTGTAAATAACTGTACTGAATTCCTGATACAGAAATACATTGTCATAGAGAGTGTTATGATATTTATACACATTTTAACTCTGCATAAAAATGAAATTCCCAAAGGTAATTTATTATGAGGAATATTTTGACACTGAAGACATCTATTAAAAATGTTTTATTTATCTGCCACCCACAGTTGCACTTTGCAATTTGTTTTAAAATATTAAGCAACAGCGACAAAAATCACCTGAAGGCAAGAATACATGATGAAAAAGCAGCTGGAGGTGGCCCGTGCTGAGCTGTTTCAATTGTTATTGTTGCATGAGTGTGTTTTGTATAATTATTACAAGTCTTCATGAAACAAACCACATAAATAGAGGCATTCAGCTGTGGCTGCAGTGCACAAAACTGATGTATGCTGAGTCATGGCCAGTATGTTTTCACTGACACGCTGTCTTTTTTATTTATAGATAGTAAAGGTAATCAGATTTGACAGCTTATCCCTTTACTAGCCCAGCTGATGTATCTGATTTAAGCAAACAGTGGTTGCAGCCACACTACAATACACATGTACTTCAGTTTTTCTTGCATCCACCAGATGGCACTGTGTCCCCATTAAATAAATGTCTCTAATCTCAACTGCTGAACCCACAGCATCCATTGTATTGAACATACTTAGATCCCTGCAGGAGAGGAACACTACTGAGCAGAAAAGAGCTAATATAAGACTGACCTGACATCCAGAGAGAGGCTGCTGCTACCTGAACAGTCTGTGGTGGTCCAGACATCACCTCCACCTCACTCCACTGCAGAAACAGGCAGGGAGTCCTGCTTCAGCTGGGCAGACAATAAAGCACGCGATAAACTGCATCATTTCTTCATGTTGTCTTCACATAAAGTTTTAGTCTGCTATATGGATATGACTCCTGCATGGGACAGACATGCAGTCTACTGGATTATGTGCCAATAGGGAACAAATGCTGAGCCATTGCTTTATTGATTATGTGACAGTTTCCTGTGTAGACCGGTGCTCTCAGTTTTCTCGAAAGCATTCAGTAAAAACGACCATTCACTCTCGGTCACTATCTTGTGAAAGCTTAGTTCATGCAGCTTTCTGCCTTGAGGAAGACACTGGGCGAGGTGTCAGATAGTGCTTTCTGAAAGAGAAATACTTTTATTGTTGCTCTCCACAAATAATGACAGCCTTGGATCCAGAACTCTAGCTGCACAAAATGAAAAAGGCCTCTTGATCACCATGCCAGACTGACGGGTCAGGAAGCCAGGACGAAAAAAAAAAGAGGTTTCTGAGAATATGTATAAAATATGTTGCTTTAAAGGACCAGTGTGTAGGACTGATGGTCAATGGGTCAATCATTTTGTTCCAGACTTAAATATTTTAACTAGCCTGCCATGTGGTTGGTCATGAAATTTTTAACAGACATTCATTATCCCCATGAATCCAAATGACTTTGCTGATCGGCTGACTTTTCCTGTCGCATGACCATCAGGTCGACATTTGCTTTACTGAAACGTCTCTACAGCTATTGGATGGCTTGTCATGTGACTTTGTACACACACACACACTTGTTATTCCCAGGCTGAACTATAATTACTTTAATGATACGCTGACATTGAGTCTTGCACCATCACTAGATCAAAATTTTCATTTGTCCAGTTGCAGTTAATGATCAAATACCTGCAAAACTAATGATATTCCCATCAGCCTCAGCTGCATTTTGTGTTTAATTCCAATTAACTAAGGCGGTGAAAATGATAAATATTATACCTGATTAACATCAGCATGTTGGCATTGTTATTGTGAGCGTATTAGTATGCCGACATTGACATTCTCCTCATTTAGGCACCACTGTGCCTAAGTACAGCCTCCAGCAGTTAGCATGGCTGTTATTATTAGTCTTGCGAGAAGTAGCTGATGTTTCATGTTGGTAATGAAATTGTTTGGCCATTTTTATGTGAATAATTTACAAAAACTGTGTTTTCTGACAGAATTGAAGATTTCCAATTACCAATTATCTTCCAAAGTGGCAGGTAATCAAGCAGCAAATTTTCCAACACACAGCCAAAAACTCATTAGCATTTGTCCTCTAGTTTGTTTTACCCTCCCAACCTGAAACTAGATAATTTAATCAGCTACATGGAGGTGTGTACAGTAATTTAGCAGAGGTTGCCAGGGGACGTGATCTGCCCAAAACATTGGCAGGATGTATTATGGAATGGTGTCTGTACAGACCTGTGGAGACCCAACCCTAAGATTACTGGAACCGTATCATGTTAATACATTCTATAAGAGGACGTATGACAATATTAGGCAGAATTTGTTGTCGCAGTAGTTTACCACCGACTGTGTATTAAATTGAGAGGTGAACAGTTTCAGTATCACCAGAATAGGATTAATCAAGCAGAAAAAAAAATTATGATTGGATTATAATTAATCTGACAATTGAACTGATTCTCATTAAAGTAGGGAACATAACCTCCTCACAGAGATATTACAGAAGTACCACCTTTTGGATTTAGTTCCACCAGCAAAGAAAGTGGTAATATATATATATATTGTTCTCCATTCATTTTGTGCTGATAAACCCACATAAAAACACCTCCACCCAAACCAACTAAAAACATGGAAATGCTTCTTACATTTTACTATGTCAGTAATAATAGTCCAATGATATTATAAAAGCTTGAGAAATTTTTGAGAGGTTCACATTCCCCTCAAGCATCAAACAAGTCTGAATGTACCTATGACTCTTTAGAGATGCAGTTGGCGTTCCACTTAAATTTACATCAGATGCCTGAGTTACAGCAGGACAATATGACAAGCATTTACTGGAGGATGTTAAGCCATCATCACCACCATATGGCCACACGGCTGCAGAGACACAACAAAATGTTTCACACACCAACACACACAAAAAAAGAAAAAGAAAAACTCAGACAATATGGCACTGTTTACCATCCGACCAGTGAGTCAGTATTGTTCCGACATGAGTTTCTTCCCCTGTATACTGTCAGGAGCTGCTGTAACAAACAACAAAGTCATTTGCTGGGTCATAAAAAGCGGTCACCACCTTCATAAATGTTTAAAGACTCAGGAAGGATAATATCTATCTATCTATCTATCTATCTATCTATCTATCTATCTATCTATCTATCTATCTATCTAATCATATTAGTTGTATTTAAGTGCCTGTGCTGACACTATCAAAGTAACTGACTGAGTTCAGTTTCTCCTTCGTCTACATCTAGACAAATACTTCTGACCCTGCCAAGCAAAACATGGAAGCACATCATGAGGAATGACATTAACTGACTTCCTCCAAGCTTTACAGAGCTGTCAGCAGTAGCAGAGGGCTTTGTGCATGTCAGGCCTTGCAGATGACGCTGCCTCTCTTCATAAACTCAGTATGCATACCTCATACTGTAGAACTTGTGCTATAGTAAGCGATACAAGCTGTTCTCTCCCCTATAACGCAGATGTTTTCCATCTCATGCTTGTCTACCACAGTCAAGGCCAGTATTAGTTTTTTATGCTTTTTTTTATGATTTTGATATATTTTGTTTGTTTTTCATCTGATTGCCACTTCATCTTTTTTTGGCAGCTATTTCCTAACTCTGTGACTGGTGATACATTATATAACTTAAGATTGTGTAAAAAGCGTCTTCCCTATTTCAATTTTCTGATTTGAAACTGATTTATCCAAATATTTGAAACATTTAAATGTAAAACTTTTTTTTTTTTATCATGAATAAGATATCCATCTTAGATGTGGCATAATGTTCTGGATTTGCAGTTCATGACTGTTTTTCTGTGGGTTTCCAGTTGGCACTGTGATCTCTTCTCACAGTCTAATAACAGCCCTAATAACCCTCCCCACCCCCACCACCCACCCCATTACCCTGAACAATAGGATGCAGACAATAGAGCATGGATAACAGAGTGGCTAAAAAGCGCTTGAAAGGTCTGAATGTGAATCTATGAAATTTTACATTTATATTTCCATGCAAGTAAGCATCTGAAATATTAATGTCACACACTGATGTGCACACTATTTCTAATTTACAATTATTTAATTTAACTCAATTCACCCAGCTGATTAATTTGTTGTTGTTTACTTTGTCATATGTTGATAAGCACAGTTATGAATTATTCAAGTGCAGCTGACATTCTAAGTGGAGTACAAGGGTATTCTAAAGTACTGAGTTTCCTACCTAGCATTTCTTCCTCACACAAAATCCTCTTACATTTTGTTTTTAATTGGATTATTTATTATTATTTATTTTCTTTAAAGTGCTCTTCTTAACTGTTTTACTACCTCTTTCTATCACTCTAAGTCAGCTCATTTTGATGTCCTGATAACTCTACATTTATTATAGTCTAATCACATATTATAGAAATTGATTTTAGAGCATGTCCACTGCTTCGCTATTGTATTTAAAGATCCCCGCTTGTGGCAGTGTAACTGTTAATTTTTTTTAAATCAATTGAGTAGCCAAAGGTCATCTCACAAATATCTGAAAAGATCTGCAGTGTCTTATTTTTGCAGAACCACTCTTGCATCTGAATTACACTCCCCCTCCAGTTACTTATGGCTTTTATAAATCTTAAGACCAATGTCTGTTAAAAAAAAAAATCAGGCCAGACAAATGCACATTATAGGATGTTTTATTCTGATGGAGTTGGATAGAAACAGAGATGAATCCAGAGTCTTCTCTCGTCGCCATGGAGATCATCGTTGCTCTTAACCCATGATCTGGTAAAGTAAGGACAAATTAATCATTATGTGCTCATCCTCAAGAAACTGCACAATGTACTGCTGTACAGATGATGATTCTCATTGATTCGTATGGGTTAGTGTTAAATACTGACGTTGTTCATCCAGCTGATGTAGGCAGAGACACGGGTGAAGACAGTGGGCTTCCTGTAGGCGTTGCAGCCAGAGGAGGACACGAAGCTGGTCACACCGTGGACAACCCAACGGCCGTTGACATTGCAGTTCAGGGGGCCACCAGAGTCACCCTGGATTCAGAGAAAACACATCCCAGACAGACCTCAGAGCCAATAACTGTTAACTGCTTTATTTCTCTACTCTTGGGCAGAGTTGGAAAAATACCTCGTTTTTCAAAGAGCAACATGTTCCCACTTCCCGCTTCTCATATCCCCTTTTAATCTCACGCTGCCTTGAGCAAGTTTGTGCAGAACATGAGTTTGCAAGACTTTGACACTTTGTGCAGCTTAAGCACAAGCCTGGATCTTTGTAACTGACTTATGCCCCTGCTGATGCAGCAAGTAATCCTGCATGTGTCCTCCAAAATATCCTTCTTGACAGGAAGGGGTCAGGCCTCAGCTCAGTGGGGGACATTCAATCTCACTTTGTCATGGTGGAGTGGGACTGAAATCTGACAAGTTCTTTCCAGTGTTTGTCCCAGTTTGCTTATAGCCAGACGTTCCTGCAGGCTTAATCGCAGGAGGACCACATGTTTTAGGAGACAACTGGAGAAACTGAACTCAAAATCTGAGCTGGGAGGAATCTTTCCTGCTGAAATAAAGTTTTTTTTTTAAGTTGTAACAAATGGCTTTGCAAATGTTTCTAATTCTTTAAGATTGGTTATAAATATTAATAAGCAGTCATTTTGGGTTTCTAGGCTGTGAAAAATCGCTTTGACCAGTGTTCATCCTTTCTGTTTGATAATATTGTGGCTATAAATGTTGGTAATCCATTAATAAATGTTTAATACCTTGTTAATAACTGGATCTTAGTTCAGCTCCTCAGCAGCTCTTTTATGCAGGTAAGAGATCATATGGTCCAAATGTTTTTCTTATTAATGGCTTAAAATTGATCCATAAAGCACAAGTAGGCGTAAGGGTGGCGTATTAGAAACGTACTAGAAACTGAAATAGCATTCAGCCTCCGGGGATACTGTCCCCCAAGTTCTGGCTCAAGTCATGCGCATAATAAATGTTGAGAATGTGAGAATAGATTGTAAAGTCCATTCTAAGACCTCATAGACTCACCTGGCAACCAGAGTCGCTGCCGCCACCGGCACAGACCATGGAGTCCTTCACAGTGCTGCCCCACCATCCGTAGCTGGAGCAGGTCTTGTGGTCAACAACAGGCAGGAAGGCCTGCTTAAGCTGGGCGGACAGCTGACCTCCAGCTGGGGGCAACACAAGAACTATATCTTATAACTGTGATAAAGCTTCTGAAAGCAGGATCATGCACTATACTACAGATAGCGTTGTGAGTGGATGTAAACACTGAACTGACTCATTTATCATGTGGTGTATCATTATGCCACACTTACTCTGGGTGCGTCCCCATCCAGTGATGTAGCAGGCGTTGTTGTGGGGCAGGACCTGACCAGAGGGAGGCACGGCACCGAGCTGGACGTAATTGTTCAGAGAAGCATCAGAGGACAGACGCAGGAGAGCAATGTCCCACCTGAAGGTCAGAGGTCAGTGAGTTATAAATATTTTCCCTGTCTTCATAAAGGCTTGTTGTAATGGCTTTGTTTAAGAGAAAGCTATTGTCTCTCTTTCGATTAGAGTTGTTTTGGGCTAACTAACAGTTATCTCATTATTAATTAATCTGCAGATTATTTTCCCGCTTTATCTTCTAATAGCTTGGTTTATCACAGTCTCTTAAAGCCCAAGGTGGATCTGTAATTCACCTGTTTTGTCTGATCCTCCCTTGGTCCAAAACTCAAAAAATATTCAATTTACAATGCTTTAAAACGGAGCAAAGCAGCATATCCTCACGTTTAGGCAATAAATTGATTATCAGTATAGTTGCCAATTCATTTTCTGTCAGCTGACAAATAGTTTCAGCTCTAATTATATTACACTGTATGACTGGTTTTGTTTTCACAATCCATGTCCAGAATAATAAATCTAGTAAGGATTTTTCAGTAAAGTGAATGTAGATATTAATATGTAGTATTTAAAAAAATATTTAAGTAACATACAAAAAGAAATGTTCCCATTTTTCATAACTTTTTCATTTTTACAATTAACTAAATGCATTTCTACAGTATACCATGTGATGTACATCTATCAGTATTTGTTCATTTTTAATGCAGAGGGGGGTCAGACCACGTCCAGTAACCACTAACCCTCCAGCAACGTTGTTGGAGTTCCACTTGGGGTGGATGTGGACGCGGCTCACGCTCATGTACTGTTCTCTGCCCTCGTTGATGTTGATGTTGTGATCTCCAAGAACAACACGCCAAGTCCTGGAGCTATGGATATACAAAAAAGAGAAGAACATTTTCATTCCTCCTCTATCTGGCACGTAGTTGTCTCTAATAGGACATCTGTTGAAAATCAATATTTTACATGGAACCTATGTTTTGTGGGGACTTCTTATCTTCTTATTTGATTCTTGATTCAAAAAGGCAGCTGTAATACAACCAGTAAAATTTAGATCTACAATGTCTTAGCTATGCACAGATGCCAGCAAGAAATAAAATTAAATGCATTTATGTAGATGTTAAGCTCTGTCAGAACCCATATGCTGCTACTTCACCCATATTTCTATTAGATTTAGGCTCAGCAGCTATTCTGTGATGCATGAAACTCTCACCGGTCCACACAGTGAGCAGCGGTCATGACCCATCCTCTCTTGATCAGGGTTCCTCCACAGGTGTGGTAGTAGTTGGAGCCAGATTTGTACTGAAGAGAGATCTGATGAAACGACACACAGACAGTATTAACAAGATGGGAGATTTATATGTGTGTGATTTCACAGGAAAAAAAAGTGTTCCAAAATATTATATACTGTATATATAATATAATATATAATAGAACAAGAATACTGAGCAGTACTGGGCTAACTAACTAACTAACTAAAACCTAACCTTAAGGGTTGCCTTTCACGGCAGGCGTGCTTATTATGGCAAAACACCAGCAAGAAAATATAGCCCAGAATATTTTTACATTGTGTTGCTGCTATTTTTTACTAAAGTAAAGGATCTGAAAACTTCTTCTTCCACTGATGTGGAGACAAAGAAAGCGTAGTACTGTACCTGCCAGGGCCAGGAGTGGGGTCTGGCCACTTCTCCTCCCACGACTCTCCCCTCAACACTGTCATCCTCCAGGAACCTGGGCTGGGGCTCCAGCTCAGCCAGCACTGAGCAAAGCAGAAGCACAGGAAGCACATCAGTCACACATAATGTAATTATATGTGTTAGGAGGCGTGTATGTGCAGAATGTCAAAAGACAGGAAGAATTTGAGAATTTTTTTTTTTTTTTTTTTTACCGAGGGCTGCGAGAGAGGTCAACACAAGAAACCTGAGCATGTCTGCAGTCTACTGAAGCTTTCTGCACTGAAGACCCCGGTCCACCACTCTTTTATACCCTCAGGGTCTGTTGTCTTTATTTTATCTTTGTGTGTGTGTGTGTGTGTGTGTGTGTGTGTGTGTGTGTGCGTGTGTGCGTGCGTGTGTGTGTGGCTGGTTCAGAAGCAGCACAGGACCACCTGCGTCCGTCTCATCGTTATCACTACAGTCGGTTAATTCGTGGAACAGCTGACTCAGCTATGAATCCATTTTTTTTCCCACTTGTTCTGGCCTTACTATCAGATGTAAGATTATCTTTTACTGTAACTTTCTTTCTATTTTTTACCACTAAACCTTTACCTTGTGTAGTAAAGCAGTTTTGACTGCATGTACTGTACACATTAAATGTTTGTGTTTTTACTTTAAGACTTATTTGCCCTCATCAAGTCAAGTCCAGACATGTCAGTTACATTTTTATGGCTCAATATCGCAAAATCTTAAATTTGCCTCAAGCGGCTTTACAGTCTGTACAGCATATGTCAAACTCTATCCTCTACCCTCAAGTCATTGTTTGCTGCTTTAAGGGCAACTTGCTGCTTGCCAAAGATAGAAAGGGGCTCAAAACAGCACGCACAAATACATTCTGACATTTTCCTAAAGTGCACCTCTGCAGTAAAAACCCATTCTGACATGCATTTTACTCTGCAGAGTCAGTGTGTATGACTTTGTTCTCTTTCTGGTTGTCGACTGGAGGCGATCAACCACTGGGATCAGTCAGAGAAAAGACGATTTTTATTTAAAAAATGATGTAGTACTCCAGTACTCAGAGGAAGATTATCCTCGCAGTCTCTGAGTGTGATTAAGCATTTTAGCTGCCTACACTATATGCCGCTTTGATTTCATGAAAGTGCATTTAAATCTACAGTATATTCAGAGAATGTGCCTTTTTACACAAACTGGAGTGGCTGGAAACATAAACCACCTTAGTAATAGTTTCAAAGAGAATGAAAGTATAAGGAAGTGTGGGCTATACACGGTTACTTTCATGTGTAGAAAATGTGCTACATGAGGAGATCAGGCTGTGGAGCGTATGCCGACCATGCATCCATAGCATACTTTGAAAGGGGCACGGACTCAGGATACATGAAAGATATAGCTGTCTGCACTATCATCGAAATTCACACTCAGGTCAAAGCTGCGCTAAAGTCAACAGCAGGCTGTTTAAGCTGGACAGACAGCTGCGCTCCACATACATGGGAACATAGAGAGAGGAGGAACAGTAACGGGATGATGAACTGTATATATCCTTACATGTTACAAGTTGTTGATTTATATAGATCAAGATCATGTTTAAAGCTTAACAAGCCTGAGGCGAAAATACAGTATTCCACTTAAAGCCTTTGATAAGTATTCATGAGGCCCTGTGGATCGGATATTATATATTCTGCATATGTTCCAGTGTTGTTGCACAGTAGCGAGAGCTGCTGCAGCATATGACTTGATCTTAGGGGAGACAGACAATTGCAACTTTGAGTGTCTCGATTTTAATTTGAAGAAATTGTTTTTTACTCACACTTACATATACATATATTGTAAACTCAAATGTAGGATCTTTGTTTTGGGCAAAAGACACAATATTGAGTTTTATTTTAAAAGCTGTATGCCAGTATTACTGAGGCCTCAGGAAGCAGACATACGTTCTCTAATGCAGATACCCAGCACACATCCTGGAGCTGCTGAGACACACTTAGACAGCTCATCAATGACATGCTGTAGGCTACAACCTGAGCTCTGTTATCTGCTCTTCTCTGACAAGACCCACAGCAGGTAAGGATTACTGTGCCCGTGTCCCACAGACTGCTGCCTCGCAGTGAAACCTACCAGATATATCTGTCATATCATTTTTTTCTGAGAAAAAAAAAAAAAAATCCACAGATTTAAAGGGATAGTTTGGTGTTTTGGGAAGTGTGCTTATTCACTTTCATGTTGAGACTTAACAGAAGATGAGAAGATCGACACCACTGTCATGTCTGTGTAAATATGCAGCTGGAACCAGCAGTCGGCTAGCCTGGCTCTGACCAAAAATCTACCAGCTTCTCTAAAGCTCTCTAATTAACATATCTTGTGTTAATGCCTCACAAAAACTTGACTGTTCTTTTAAATTTAAGCTCTGCACAATTGCTGCATGTATGTAATCTCCTGTGTGGAGCTAAGGAACCTTTAGAGTGAGGCAAGTGATCTTTTTTTTTAAAAGGATCTTTTATTTCATACTGTTTATCTTAGAACTGAAAAACCAATTGCACAGTTTCTCTGATTAAATGTAACTGCGGAATAGTTGTGTGATAAACAGAGGGTCATTTAGCATGTAGAGCACATTTTAGTGTGAGATTTCTTTATTTCAGCCTTAAAGAATCTAGTTTGAAACATCCATTACAGCAATCCTATAATAATAAAGGTATGGCTTGGAGCATTTAACAAATACGCAGCACATTCACATAAATGATATAGCCTCCCCTTAGGGAGGGCTGTTTTACCCTTATTTATGGAGGATACTGCAGCGTTTCAAGGTCGAAATGAAACAAGCGTAACTGAGACAAGCTTGTAAGATTTAACATACAAAGGTGAGGGAAATGGAAGTCAGAGGCGAAAAGGGAGCGCTGGACTAAAACACAATGAAGACAGTATTCTTTTTCTCTTCTTTACAGAATGAAGAATACATAGGCCTAAAAAGTATCGATGAATCAATCAATCAATTCCTCCAGTCACAGCATTCAGTCAGTGTGTCTGTTGTTCTGATCATAGCACGGCCGTGACACATGTGTGGTTCTCACTATAGGCAGACACTTATCACGCATGTACTATTCTAGTCGTGCCTCGGTGCTCACTGCAGCTTCATTCCTCTAAAATGTCACAAAACCACCGGAGAGGCAACAGAAAGGGTAAAAAAAAAAAAAAACCTTCTGTTTATTAAACCCCAATCAGACCAGTTTCTGATGGGCGCAAAAAAAAAAAAAAAACTTCAATTTGAAAAATAACAAAAGACAAAATACTGCAATACGACTGTCAGCATTTACTCAGGGCTGCTGGCTGTCAGAGCTCAGAAATAGAATACATTTGCATTAAGTCAAAAACACAAAAGTGTATCCTCATGTCCCTGGTACAGCCCCTCGGTGCACCATCTGCTCGTCTCTGTATCAGTCCCATCTCTGTCACAGAGGTAACTTGCTGATGTTTTCACATGCTCTGAACGGGAAAATGCTGAATGTAAAGTTTTAGCATAAGGCAGTGGGTTGTTAGGTGTTTATCTAAATAAAAAGACTTTATCTTGTCAGTGGAGTATGATGCATTATATATTCATTAGTATCAACACTGCGGAAAAAAACATCAGAACTAATTTAAAACTAGAAATAGTTTAAAGCACGTTTATTGATTTTGAAGTGTTTTATTGATAGAAGGTTTGAACAGGCAAATTCATTGCAGATAGGGAACAAACTCAAGCTCAGAGTCATTTCTGTTGCAAGAATCTTATCCATTTCAAGGATTGTTCATGACCTGGAAAAAGAAAAATCCATATATTCAGCAACTACAGTAGTTTAGAGGAACATGCTGTGAAAAGTATATTGTGTAATTAATGAAAAAAGTGAGGTCTTTGTAATGTGTCATTTTGTTTACAGTAGGTTAGCATTACTGACCGAGTTAATCCAGGATATGTAGGCAGAAACACGGGTGAAGACAGTGGGCTTCTGTGGAGTGTTGCATCCCATACCAGACACAAAGCTGGCTATACCATGGACATACCAATTGCTGTTAACAATGCAGCTAAGAGGGCCACCAAAGTCACCCTAGGACGAGACAAAGAAATGTTTTTTTTTTTTTAATCACTATTCAGAAATACATAACCATAAATATATCACTTCCCTTTTTTTTTCAAACCATCTGCAGTAGCTTTAGCTAGACATATGACGAACGTTATGTTTAGATTCTTCTGCATTCAAATTCATTCTGGGTTCACCGGTGATTATTTTATCAGGTGCATTACATTTTATACATATAATACTTGAATCATAGGAATAATAACAATGTAAGAGTAAAATCCACAACCTTCGAACTGATTATCAACAACATCTGTTTGAACAGGTGTGTTAACAGGTGTGGCATGTGGAAAATAGTATTTAGTGTTTTGCAAGCGCCCCTGATAGTGTGACTCAGCAGATTGTCTCAGCTGGTGACTGAGTGGATTCATATTTAGCAGGCATTATAATCCTGCATGTGCTTTTTTTTATTGGACTGCATGTGTTTAGGAAATCCTTTTTTTTTTTGTTTTTTTTTTTTGTTTTTAAACTGTGCTTTGAATATTTTCATGTCGTTCACACCAGCAGACTCACATTGCATCCTGACTGAGCACCTCCTCCGGCACAGATCATGGTGGTCTTGACGGTGCTGCCCCACCAGCCAGAGCTGGTGCAGGTCTGGTGGTCAACAGAAGGAAGGTAGGCCTGTCTCATCCTGGCAGACATGCTTCCACCAGCTGCATGTGTAAGATACTGAGTCACTTCACAGTTTACAGTCAGAATAATGAATGTGAGGAGTTGCGTCTGACTCACTGGAGATACGTCCATATCCCGTGATGTAGCAGTAGTTGTTGTGGGGCAGGATCTCACCGAAAGGAGGCAGAGAAACCGGACTCACGTAAGAGGTCAGGGAGATCTCAGAAGACAGCCGCAACAGTGCAATGTCATTACTAAAGGTCAAAAAAATGCTTGAAATTCTTCTACTGCAAGTACAATCACCAGAAACATCCTGAATATGTTACAAGTATCTGAGTGACTTTGAAACAGACAAATAGAAAACATCATACAGTCCTAAATTCATTCAAAGGTTAAATCAATCAAAATCTGACTCCAATGTAAAACTCTACATGTTAAACAAAATAAGAAATGTTTACCCAAAAAGTTCACTATGTGGTCTCTGAGTATTAGACAGATACTAGAATATAATAACAGAAAGGCCCACCCTGAGGAGATGCTGTTACTGTTCCATTCAGGATGGACATAA